AAACAAAACCCACCCGGGTCAGGACAGCCCGTGCTGCTCTTCCGTCTTCTGTACACGGCCATTTACAGACACACACACGTGGCCTTCCACCTGCGCCCCTCCACCTGCACCCCCTCCACCTGCGCCCCTCCACCTGCACCCCCTCCACCTGCGCCCCCTCCACCTGCGCCCCTCCACCTGCACCCCCTCCACCTGCGCCCCCTCCACCTGCGCCCCTCCACCTGCACCCCCTCCACGGGCACCCCTCCACCTTCGCCCCCCACCTGCGCCCCCCACCTGCGCCCGGCTCCCTTCTGGGAAGGAGCGGGGAGCTCCCTCCCTAGGGGCAGGTCAGCAAAGGGCAGAGCTGGGGAACGAGGCACTTTCCAGCACACACACAGAGTGGGCAAGCGGGCCTGGGTGCATGGCCCCCTCCCTCTCACCACAAAGCAGTTTCTAAGCGCAGGCTTGCATCCTCTCATCATGGAAGGTCTCGGTGAGAAGCCCACAGCCGGAAGGTGTCCTGGCTTCTGGCTCCCTCAGTCCCTTCTCCGTCCCCTCACTTTAGGAGCAGGATGCACACAGAGCTGGGCTGCTATAGGACAGCAGGTGCAGCGAGGAGGTCAGCATCTTCCCACAGGTCACCCTCTCTTGCTGGCCTCAAGCTCCCCTAGGCTTGGCATCACCAGCCCCTGGTCATGTAGGCAACCAGTGGGGTGTCCAGGCTTTTGGACAGGAGCCTTCTGGGGCTGTGTGGGTGGGTCCCTTCCTGAGCCGGGGTGAGGGTGTTGGTTGGTTGGGTCAGGGCACCTTTGGACTAGGGGCAGCTCTTCTAGCATCTGGCGTCTTACGGGGTTTGCTGCACCACAAGGATTCAGTGATGCCAGGGCACCTCACCTGCTTCCTTGGTGGGTATGCGGTGCGGCCGCAATAAGGAAAAAAAATACCCAGAGCTGGCCCTTGCCCTGGGCAGGTGGCATGGCTGCAGGCACTGGGGGGTCTGGTGTGACTCACCCACGGCGGGCATTAAAAAACAACACTACGTGCAGATTTTTCTGGAATTGTCACGTGACGAAGTGCCTGCTGACCCCTGCCTGTGGGATACAAGCCCACGGCTAGGAAGCAGAGCTAGAGCTCCGCCCATGTGCCACCAGTCCCTTCCAGCAGGAGGGCACTGGTGCAGGCCCTGCCCACCCGTGTCTGGGTCTCTGCCCTCAATTCCCAGCAACTGGGCTAGCTTCCCAGCAGCGAAGGAAGCATTTCCCAGAGTTGGGAGTGAGGGCTCCCTCTCTTGGCTCTCGGTCATAACCAAGAGGAAGGCATGTCCCACGTTGAACGCTTGTGTGACCCAGCTGGGAGCGGGACCCCCAGAAAGCCCAGGGCCATGGGGCTTCCTGCAGAGTCCAGGGAGGTTCCAGGGAGGGAATGTTCCACGTGGGAAGTCAGGGCTGGACTGGCCAGCGTGCTGGGAGAAGGAAAGAAGGGCATTCCTGGAGTCCCCCCGTGTTGGCTTCAAAAGTCGCAAATCCAGCCCAGGTAGCCCCAGCGCGTGCGCCCACTGAGGGGCGCATGAACAGCCGGGTCCTGGGTCCCTCCAGATCTTGCCTGGGACGCATCATGCGCGGTGGCCAGGCTCCCTGTCTCCTGCTGCTCCCCCAACTACTCCAGCCGGTGGGCAGGCGAGACAGTCCATCAAGGCCCAGACAGGGGCAAACGTCGGGCAGGGGCCTTGTCAGGGAAGGCAGAGGCTCGCTCTCCATTGTCCATCCACCCAGCTTGGCATGGATGGAGTTGGTAAGTCCAGGGACAATGTGTGTGTCCCTAGCTGGGCCAACGCTATGATACTAAGGGTTCCCAGAGGGAGGGTCATTTTGGGTCTGAAAAAAAATGATTTGAAGGCCAGGCGCGATGGCCTAGCACCTAAAGTCCTCACCTTGAATGCACCAGGACCCCATATGGGTGCTGGTTCATGTCCCGGCTACTCCACTTCCCATCCAGCTCCCTGCTTGTGTCCTGGGAAAGCAGTCAAGAACGGCCCAAAGCCTTGGGACCCTGCACCCATGTGGGAGACCTGGAGGAAGCTCCTGGCTTCGGATCGGCATAGCATCGGCCATTGTGGTCACTTGGGGAGTGAACCATCAGAAGGAAGATCTTCCTCTCTGTCTCTCCTCCTCTCTGTATATCTGACTTTGCAGTAAAAACAAATATATCTTAAAACAAATAGCTTATGGCTAAGGTTTGACTTTTTTCTGTGCCTCTGGGGCAACAGACTCAGGCTGGACCTGGGTGGAGGGAGGGGCAGCTTCTGGGCAGCAGGCACTGGCAGGGCGGGCAGGGTCCCTGGGCAGGCATGCGGCTGGCACTGACCATGCCTGTCCCTAGAGGGACAGCGAGCACCCCCACGCCAGCACAGGAACTGCCTGAACGATGCGTGCAGGTTGGGTACCACTGACCCTTGTGATGGTCACCTCCTGGGCTGACAGGTAGACTGTGAGGCATGGAGAACCTCGTGGCCATCCAAAGAGACACAATGACAGTGGCCTGTCCCCATGGAAGCCCAGTGAGCTCTGTCCCTCGCACAGCCCTGGGCCCCATAACCAGCAGGCCCAAGCAGCAGGTTTGGGAGGGAGTGTGGCTGCGGCCAGGTCACGCACACGGTCACCTGACTGTACCTGCCCCACAGTTGTCTTGTCTAGGGAGAATGGCAGTTCTTAGCGGGAAGTCATCAGGCTTGGTGGAGGTGGCCTCCCTAGTCACCGTGACCCTGGCCATGAGTTTGGTGTCCGTGGCCTGGCCCCACACTGACCTCACCCCCGGCCAGCTCCCAACCTCACAGGTGTTCCTGGGAGCGAGGGCAGCACCCACAAAGAAGGGGTTTCTGATTTGACACTGACACACACACACACACACACACGGTAGCAGCCCCCCCAAGCTCACACATCTTTCTTTCCATGGCCAGAATGTGAGCCCGACAGAGGCTGGCATGGGGTTGGGGAGCCGGCCGGCAGGGCTGACCACGGCAGGGAAGGGCTGTGGTTTATGGGAGGGGCAGACACCCACACAACCTCACGGGACGTGGGCGTGGAGGGAGACGGAAATCACTGGCGAGCAGCCTGCATTGGAGGCGCAGAGGCTCAGCCGCCGCACAGCCCGCCGCACAGCCCGCTGCACAACTGGGACAAGGCCTGTGGGTACCCGGGACCTGTTCAGACTGCAGCTCACTGCGGAAGGCAGCTCCAGGTTGGGCAGCCACTACCACAAACCCAGGGGCGGCGTGCATGAGGGCGGCGTGCATGAGGGCGCTGTCCGTGCGCACTCCCGGAGTCTGCAGCTGGGGCTGGCCGAAGGTGGGCGCACCGGGTTGGGGCTGCAAAGCCAGGCACGGCTTTCTTCTCTGTTCCCATCGGGGCTAACAGCACAGCGGTGAGGCGTGTGCACCTGGGCACCCCGCTTCCGGAGTGCCCAGGAAACACGTGCTCTGTGTGAAGTCTCATTCCCTACCCCCAACCTATGTTTTTTTTTTTTTCAATAAGTGAAAGAGGAGGAGAAAACTCTCACAAAATATAAGGTTTAGCAGACGTGGGCAAGGGGCACGCCCGAGGTCCGCCCTTGTGGGCCGGCATGGCAGCGTGCTGGAGCTCCTGGCACCAGGGCCTCAGCGGGCAGTCACACCGTCTCCCCGTCTCCCTCCATCCGCTGCAGGGTCACTGTCCCTGCCCCGCTCCTCCTGCTTTTCTGTTCCCCACAGGCAGATGGAACCACCTGCACGGAGTCCTGCACGCTCTTGTTTTGTTTTAATGGGAGTGTGGCCTCCCGGGAGTATTTGCTACAAAGAGTGGTTGCACATTCTTACTGCACATCCAGTGCAGTTTATAAATTAACCGGGTGCCACGTGCACAGAGGCCAATGCATATTCATGAACTGCTTTTATTCAGACGGATTTTCACACATCTCCTCTAAAGACGGAATACAGAAGAAGCGTGTGGGGGCGCGGCTAAGCCGGCCCCGAGGGAACCCCGGAAACCCAACACATCCACCTTGGCTGAAGGACAGACACCGATTCTGACGTGTGTGGGGGGGTGTGGACCGGCCCCTCCGCATCTCCCGCGTGAACCCCACGCGCCCCAGCTGCGCGCGGCCGTGCAATTCCTGACTTCCTCGTGGATTTCTGAGTTATTTATTAATTTATTTATTTATCCCCCCCACCCCCATTTGCTTTCTTTTCTTTTCTTTTTTTTTTTTCTTTTTTTGCACCAAGGAGACCACAGTCGAAATAATACTCAAGCGACTGACTTCCTCTCTTTGGACTGAAAAATTAAACAGACACTAAATGATGACAGCGGATTTAGAAAAAGAGGGCTCCGAGGGCTCGGGGAGAACATGGCTGGGCCCGCGACGCTGCCAGCGCCCAGTGGAGCGTGCCGGGAGCTACCTCCTCGGCGAATATGCTTTCTTCCCGGTGATGACTAATCATGTCCTATTAAACAGCAGTAATGCTGGAAGAACTCAACTATACAAGTGTAATGAAGCCGCTATTCTCCGCGGACAGATTAGCTCCAACTGATTTGACACATACCATCATAGGGGCTTCAGACCTGACAAACTCTGTGCTTGCTCCTGATTCATGGCGTCAGGCTCATCGGAGAGGAGGCGAGTCCCGGCTGCTGGCTCAGTCGAGGTGAAACGTTCTGGTGTGCTTAACTGCCAGTTCAGGGGAGCTGCCCCTGCTCGCTCCTCGCCTGCCCTCCCATCTCGGGCCCCCAGTCCTCGGCGCCCGGCTCTGCAGGTCGCTGGGGGCACCGGACCTGGCGCTGCCGCCTCCGTGCGTGCCACCGCCCGGGTCCCCCCTCACTCCGCGTGTCCTGTGGATCGATGGGGTGGGGTCGGGGTGCGGGGGAAGTTGGTGGAGCGGGGAGTGGCTTCCGCAGCCTCCCGCTTGCCCCTTGATGGGGTCCAGGTGCCGGGTTCTCCTTGTGGGGGGCGCGAGTGAGCGGTTTGCAGGCGACCGCTGGGAGGAGGGAGGGGGCTCGCCCGACTCACGTGCCTGGGGCTTGGTGGGCGCTGGCTCCTCAGATGATGGCAGGCACCCTCCCGCCACTGTTGTTGCGGTTGTTCTTGCGGGACAGGTTGGGCGTGGCCATGAGCACGAAGCGCTCGTCTGGGCAGCCGTATTGCAGCAGGACATCCACGCACTCCTGGCAGGAGGCCTGCCGGGCATAGGCCAGCGCCGTGTTCCCGTGTGCGTCCCGGGCCATGACGTCCACGCCGTACTGTGCAGGGGGGCACGGGGAGAGACACGGCCACGTTAGCCCACCGCCAGGGGATGGAGAGGCTCCCACCCCCGAGCTGCTGCTGGGCAGGGCCCCCTCCCAGTGACCTGCATGGGGAGCATGGCTGGTGCAGCATCTGCCCTCCAAAGGCTGCCTGCTCCAAGCGGGATGGGGACGGGTGGTGGGTGGAGGGCAGGCCTGCTGGGGCCCCTCCTGGTGCCCTCACAGGCGTCGACCCAAGGTGCCAGGGGAGGCCTCGGCCTTAGAGACCCTGGTGTTTGCGGGTTGGCCCTGTCCACGGCTCACAAAGTGTCCTTGTCATGCCCTACGGGCACTGGGCAGCCCTGGCCCCCGGCTGCAGCTGAGTGCAGTGGAGCAGCCTGGGCAGGGTGAGCACCCTGGGCAGGGTGAGCACCCTGGGCACTGTGCCCACTCTTCTCTGTGCCTACGACGACGGGTTCTGCTGGGGCTGCTGCGGGCCACCAGCTTCCCGCAGCGGGTCTGGCTTCCCGACAGGTGTCCCAGTAGCAACAGGCACAGTCATTGGGCAGGGACTGTCACATACGACCCCTCTGACCAGCTCCCCCACAGCCCACCTCCAGGTCTGGGACACGGCTGTGTTGACGGGAGAATGAAGATCGCTAAGCTGTGCTGACGGGAATTCATGTAGGTGAACGCGGGAGCGAGAGGACCATCGCTGCCACACCAGGCCCGAAGACGGATTTTCAGAAACTGGCAGACGCTACATGGGGCTGGGGTGGCAGCTGTGTCGCCTAAGCAGCAAGCACCCACTGGTTGCACTTTCTGCTGGGCCCTGGGCTCCCCTCCCTGATTCTCGGCCCTCCCATGGGCACACGCAGCGGGCACAGGCGGCGGGCACACGCGGCGGGCACAGGCGGCGGGCACACGCGGCGGGCACAGGCGTCCACACCTACCCAGATCAGGAGCTGCACCAGCACCACGCTCCCCTTGCGGCAGGCCAGGTGCAGTGCCGTGCGGCCGTCGCCTTCGCCACAGGTCTCGTTCACCTCCTCCCGCGAGCCGTGCGCCAGGAGCAGGATGACCGTGCGCAGGTCCTCGTCGGCCGTGGCCCGCAGCAGGTGCTGGCCCAGGGACAGCTCCGCGCAGGGCAGCGGGGCCAGGAACAGCTTCTGCTCGTACTTGGCCCGGATCCAGCGCTCCTTCTCCTCCCTGTAAGAGCCCCCGGACGGGTGGTCACCACCGGGCACAGCAGCGGGTGTTGCCTTGCCGGCGCAGGGCGCGCCTCTGGCCGACTGGGGAACAGCTTCTCCGTGCTTCAGCACGTGGTGGCCTCGCCCCCTAGCCGGGAACTTACTCGAAGGAGGCCGAAGGAGGCCACCAGCCCTTGGGTAGCAGAGGCCAAAAGTGAGGCAGGGGTGCAGAGGATGGAGTGACGCTTGGTGGGGGGCGGAAGTGGGCTGTGATGGCTGCCTCCCCCGACCCCTTTAACCACGGGTCTGCACAATCTGGATGGGATTCGGCACGTGGAGCTTGGGGGCCTGGGGAGCCCAGGTTCCTACAGGGGTGGGGGGCCTGCCTGCTGCCCCAGGATGTCTGACAGAGGGGACAGAAGAGGGAGAAGGAAGGGACAGGAGCCGAGAAGGCAGGCTGTGCAGTTAAGTAAACAAACTTTGGGGTAGGCAGCAAAAACCTCAACAGAACCATGTGGGTTCCCAGGTGGCTCTGGAAGCAGTGCACGCCACCAGGCCTGGGCAGCACTGCGGGGGGAGGATGAAGAGGTGGGGTGCACGCTCGGCTGCCCTCCCCTGAACCACCACTCCCTCCAGGGCACACAGCCCCAGCCATGCAGGGCAGCGGCTCAGGGGCTCCTGCCACGCTCTGCAGCGGAAACACCGGGAACACCTCTGCTTCCCAAGGCAGAAGAAAAGGGCTTGTTGCCACCTTTTCTGTGTTTACACTGCGCCCGGGGATCGTGTCGGGTTAGCCCTAATCTGTTCCTAAAGACTTAGGCAAACAGATTCCTCCAGGAGTAAATCTGGATTAGTTTTGCTTCACTTCCTGGTACATGCGGGCGACCCCAGCATGACCCCCAACTCCTTTTATCAGGGGGTTTCTAGGACAAACACTTGGCATGGCCGAGAGCCCACGGGCACCCCCAGATGGTGCGAGGAGCCCTCAACCTACGGCCCGGCCAGGGGCGGAAGTGCCAGCGGCGCTGAGGAAATGGGGCTTAGGAAAGACAAAATCCTCAGGGGTTCGGTGTTACCTTTAAGAAGGTATTTAATATCTATTAAGCAGCTGTGGGTGCATTTCCCGAATCACAGACAACGCGAGACAGGAGCGGGGCGGAAGGGACAATGGCACGGGCTCCTCCGTCTGCTGGCTCCCCCATTTCACAGGCATTAAAATCACAACCATTTAATTCTGCTCCGACTGATTTTAATAATTATCGCCAATCACCCGGGGATAAACTGAAGGATGTGGCACAGGAACTCCAGGCTTCAGTGCGATGACTGTATTTATTTCTTTGAAAGTCAGTTACCAAGAAAGGGATAAGACGGAGAGCTCTTCCCTCCACTGGTTCACTCCCAAAGGGCTGGGCCAGGCCATAGCAGGAGCCTCTTCCGGGTCTCCCACGTGGGTGCAGGGTCCCAAGCACTTGGGACCTCCTCTGCTGCTTTCCCAGGTCATTAGCAGGGAGCTGGAAGTGGAGCAGCTGGGACTTGAACCTGTATCCATCTGGGATGCGGCTCCTACCCTCCATGCCATACACCTGTGTGGGTGACACGGGGTCCTGCTGCCTCCTCGGCGGCCTGCTGTCTGTGTACTATTCCAACACTCCAGCCGCAGAGTGGCATTCAAGCTCTGCCCTGATGTGGTTACAGCACAGGTGAGCTCAGCGTGGGCAGACTGCTCTTGGCTTCCAGAGGCTGCTGCCCCTCACCTGCACCACGTGGCCGTGTGGAGGTCCCACGGGGCTAAAACTCGCGTCTGCTAGCAGCCGGGCCTGACAAGATGCTGCAGGGGGCACCTTGGCATCGTGGGACACCCTGAGGACCCAGGTTCCCCACGCTCAAAGGCAGCAGGCAAGGGGTGTTGGCCTGCTCCGAGGACCATGTGGCGATCAGGCAGGCAGGAGGCCTCTGGGATGGCACGGCCCGCTTTGCACCATCAGGTCCTGACCTCTACCGTGACCATCTGGAGACAAGCTCGTCGGGAGGCAATCTGGGTTAAGTGAGGTCATGATGGCAGTGTGGCAGGGAACCATGTCTTCCGGTGGCCTTGTCTGCGACTCGTGGTCCCCGAGTGGCAAGGAACACCCGGTACTCGGTCAGAGTGGCCAAGCCACCCCTTCCTCCATCCTCATCTACAAGGGATGAAGGCCCAACAATGGTGTCTTCTCGACAAGGAACACTCTGTCTAGGCCCAGCACCTTCAAGGGCCTGGAGGCCTGGCACGAGGGGGCCACACGCCACTGCCCGGTGTCCAGCTTCACTTCCGGGGTTCCCAGGGCATGTCTCGGCCACACCTTCCCTCTCCCCACGGAAGGCCACTTCAAGAGCAGTGGAGACGGCAGTAGATCAGCTCACTCTGCGCCAATCCCCTGGGGGGCCACTGCTCATGGCCTCTGTTGGCTAATGAGCTAAAAAATGAGTTATTGGTGCAGCCGGTCGGCAGCAGGGAGGAGGGGCTGTCGCTCCCTTGGTCCCCGAGCTGAGGCACCTTCAAATCAATCAAGTGCACAGTGAGGGCGGAGAGCGGCAAGCAGGTGGGGGATGCGCTGACCCGATCCCCCCAAAGTAACAAGAGGAGGTACCCCCAGGGCACTGCAGTATGTATTTTCTTGTCTAAAATAAAAACCCCTTTTGTAGGTGGGTTTCCACCATCTCCCTGGGACCAGCAAAGGGCTAAATACAGGATCTGGGATCTGGGGGCTGGAGCTGTGATGTTGTGGGTTTGCCCACTGCCTGAAATGACAGCATCTCATGTGGGTGTCAGTTCAAAAGCTGCTCCGCCTCTGGTCCAGCTCCTTCTTGTAATGCCCCTGGGAAGGAGGCAGAAATGGGCCAAGTGCTTGGGCCCCTGCCACCCATGTGGGACACCCAGAAGCATTTCCTGCTATGGCCTGGCCCAGCCCTGGCCACTGCAGTCATTTGGGGAGTGAACCAGTGGATGCAAGATGTATCTTCTCTCTTTAACTCTTGCCTTTCAAACAAATAAATCATTGCAACTTGGAACCAGGGGGTGAGCCCTGGAGCTTCCGTGAGGTTCCCGGTCCGGTCAGGGTAGGGCTGAGATGTGGCTGGCCCAGAGCTGAGTCGTCCTCTCTGGGAGTGGACATGTAGAGCCTGGCCGGGTCTAGGTCAGAGAGCGGCCCGGGGGAGCATACCCTGGGTGTGAACAGCGCTGACTTCAGGCGAGTGCTGGTGACCTGATGCTGACCCCACCCTGGCCAGCTGCCACCTCAACACCACTGTGCAGGGCCCGTGACTCTACCCTGGGGACACAGACGGGCACCCCAGCGCGACTGCCCCCTCACACACAGCTGGAAGGGGACGCTCATGGCCGTGCTTGGAGGACACAGCAGGGCCCGACTAGTGATGGGGCCAGCACCATGGAGGCTGCTGGCAAGAGCAGTGACTGAGCTGCCCCAGGGAGGGCTGAGTACCTCCCGCACTCCAGCATGCTGCCCCCTCTGGGGCCGGACCCCTGACCGTGGGTATGCCACCCCTACTGGCATGTGTTAGAACCTTTGGCTTTCAGTGAAGTTTGTGGTCCTGTATTCAAAACATGTCTTGGTTCACTCCTCAAGTGCTCACTGCGGACCAGGATGGGCCAGGAGCCTGGAACCTATTCTACCCTATTCCAACCTAGTCCATGTCCCCTGTGTGAGTGACACAAGTTCCTGCTGCTCCCTTGGAGCGGGGCTAGCATCAGTGGGTTGGCTGGGGCTCGACTCAGCACTGACAGTGGATGCAGGCACCCTAAGTGGCGTCTTAGCCATCCAAGTGTGTGTGTCCCCCAAGAGCCCACCTGTTAGCACCACAAGGGGGAAGGGGCTTTGGGCGATGGTTAGATCGGAAGGCTCTGTCCTCAGAGACTCAAGGCAGAAGTGAGCATGCAGCACAGTGGGCTAGGCTGCCGCCTGGGACTCTGCAGTCCTCCATCGGAGTACCTGGGTCCAGCTCTGCTCCAGCTCCCTGCTGAGGTGCCTGTGGGGCAGCAGCGGATGGCTCCAGTGCTTGGGCTCCTGCCACTGACGGGGAGACATGGCTGGAGTTCTGGGGAGCCCCCTTTCTTCATGGCCCCGCTCATACGGCTAATTTTACCTTTTAATGCCGGCTCCCCTGGCCCTGGCCTGGCTGCTGTGGCACGTGGGGAATGGGTCAGCAGGTACGGGTCTCCTGCTGCCTGTCAAGCAAATGACCCCACCACACATACACACTAAAGAGGCCTGCCTGTCCCTACTTCTTCCACTGCATGGAAGTACAGCAGCGAGGCCCACTGAAAAGCAGGACGTGGACCAACACAGCCATCCCTAGGATGCGGACCAGTGTGTCCCTCTGAAGAGCACGGCCCTTCCCAGGATGTGGTCCAGCACGGCCCTCCCTGGACTTGGACCAGTGCGGCCCTCCCCAGGATGTGGTCCAGCGTGGCCCTCCTGGACATGGACCAGCGTGACCCTCCCTGCACATGTGGCCACTGGTGCCCGACTCGGGACTTCCCTATCTGCAGCTACGGATGTCTGTTGTTTAGAAACAGCCAAGTCTACCCAGTCCAAGAGGCTATGTTCTACGGCATTTCTCCAGTCTGCTTGTGCCTCTCCACCTGCTGGGCTTCGGGTGGTCCCGTGCACCCGTGTATCAGCTGCAGATGAGGGAAGCTGCCCAGGGCATCGCGGCTCCATCCTGACAGACCCCCGCGTGGAGGAGGTGAGTGGCTGGGCTGGCAAGGGGCTCCGGCGGCCTGCCACCTTAGCGCCTCTGAGACTGTCTTCACAGCTGTGCCTGGCATAGCTGTGGGACCCCAGCGCACAGCACCGTCCTGCTCACCCTTCCCCCTGGCCAGCCCAGAGCCCGGCTGGTGTGTCTGTTGTGAGCAGATCCAGAGGCAACCCAGAGCTGTGCCGTCACTGCGGGTGCTGGCCACTGCACGGGGTACTTCATGCTGCCGTCAATGAGAACAGAACAATGCAATAATCCAATTTC